CCCCCCCCCTACCCTGGCGGGCAGCAAAGTTTATACCTAGGTACACATACACGCGCGCGTGCATATGTGTGTGTGTGTGTGTGTGTGTGTGTGTGTGTGTGTATACGCCCCGGTATTGTTCCTGTCTTCGTCTTCCCACGTTATATTGGATTTCTCGCTGTAGTTACCAGGTTTGTTCCGCGCTCGTAAACCCGCTTAAGACAAAATGGGAACCTCGACGGTGTCGGCGGAAGCATAAAAGTTGATTAAACGAATCAATACGATAGCTTCAATCACGAGATGGTGTAACGAGCTTGTGTAGCGCCCGTTAATTTGAGAAATAGATCTATTTTCGTTATTGTACGTGAGATACACGTACGTGTGTATAACAATTACTTTAGAATTTATAAATTGATTTTATCAATCTAAAGAATTCATCCGCACCGCTGTACAATATAATCATTAATTATATTTTATTGTTTCGCAAATATAATAGATATAAGAGTATGTGCGCTCGTATACGTGTGATGCTTATTACTTAATAAATCATTAGTTAAAATACCATTAAGCGCGATCAATTATTCCTCAACAACCTTTTCTTTTTCGGAGTTCAAACATAATTTCTTGTTACACGTTCGTATCGTGAATCTTAATGCGAAGCTCCTCGCCGCGTCGCGTTTCTTCAAGCAGATTAATCATTCAGTAGTGTATTAGCGTTTATTATTCACTCTAACTTATTTTACCATTTTAACTTTTACGTTCTAAATGACCTTATTAGTTTCAGCAGAAACGCCCATGTATTATCCCGTTTCGAGACACGTTCCAGCTCTCAATTCTTTCCTTAACGTCCGTGCAGACGCGGAAAATTGCGTCCATTTAAACACGGACGCGGTTTTCCGCGAGCCCTCTCGAAGTTTTACAGCGGCGCGCGGCTTTACAGTACCGCAAAAGAGCGCGCGCGCGCGCGACGTTTCCGCGCTTTTTCCTACCCCAGCACGATAATTACTCAGTTGATATGACTGGTCGGGCCGCGGGAGCGCGCGCGGGTGGAGTCACCTTAAAGAACCAACCTCCCTGCTCTCCGGCCTAACGGGATCGAATTATCTGCTTAATGGATGGTAATTGCTGCGAAGGTGCACTTAGCAGAGGAGCGCCCGGCTTTACGCGGCACTTGTACGGGCTCAAAGCATATCCCCCTCGACGGAAACGACCGTGTCCTGTCGCACTCCGTGGGATTTGGTCCTTTTCGCTTTAATATATATATCCCGTTTTTTTTTCTTAAAAAAAAAAGGAACTTCGAATTGCCGATACAGACCCCTGCAGTATAAAAAAATCAAAAACTTTTTAGCGCGGGATTTAATATATCAACGATTGAGACGCGTGCATTTACGAAAGCGATTTATGATCGAAAATGCAGAGAAAATCATAAGTCAGAAGCTGCAGTATAAATGATTATTTAATGGACCGACAAAAGGAATGGATCGAAGTGAGACGTTTTTTTAATGAGACCTCCTGACTCTCCTTTCATTGACTCTTTAAATAAAATCTTTGGTTCCACTCTCGTCCACGGCGCGTATCCTGAAACTTGAATATTAATAACTGTAGACCACAACCGACAAACCGCTGATGACTGCAGTTGCGAATAGTCGGTTGTACGGTTAAGAGAAGCGATGTCCCGGGAACATAGTGTGTCGCAGGTCGCGACTGTCTTGCGAGAATCTTCCCACTCGCGGAAGACTCCGGAAATCTTTGCCTTGGGGACGAGAGACGGCGAGAGTCTCTCTCGGTCAACTCAAGACAGTCCGTCGCGATTCCTCCGAAATTCGAGGAGTCTAAGTCTTGAATTCCGACAAAGACTTTCGACGTTTTGTTCGCGTAAGGACGGCGACGACGACGACGACAAAGAAGATAACGGCGACGGATGACGACGGGGCGATCTGTGTGTTTGCTAATTCCTCCGACGGTGCCGTGTCTCTTCGTTAATCTCCACCGCCTTTTCCCAGTTCGGCTCGGCCGCTCCGCTCGTTGGAACAATAACGCGGTTGATTGTAATGGAGGCCGCGGCGATATCAGTGGCTCATTGTTCCACGCTTAACGTCTTATATTCGTCCACGTCTTCTGCCGTTGCCTTCTTCTCTCGCTTCACCGTCTTTCGCCTTTTTCCCTCCTTTTTGTCTTTCTTTTTTGTCGGCGTTGAAACAATTTCCTTCCGTATTTTGATACACACCTCGGACTAGAGGCATTTTTTCCCGTAATTTCACCAGACGTCACGAGGTTTAAAAAGAGAGATATCTGGTGTTGCATTTCATTCAATCGTCGGGGAGAAATTAAATGTGATTTTTTTATAACTTTTACATGATGCGATATAGAAGAGATTTCTAACGATCATATTTCATATAATTGCTCTATATGGCAGTTAATATTAAAAATATTTCATTTCAGAGAAATCCTATAATTCGAGAACAGTTAATTCTCTTCATATCATTGTAATAATTATATTTTGCCATGTGTACCGAGGATTAAGGATTTTCCCGGCAATTAATTCAACCGGATGTCGCGTATCAATCGACTTTCTCGAGAGAGTTAAAGACGGATTAATGCAAATCGGAAATACGCGGGAAGTGCATCTAAAGACAATTGCTACGATTCATATGAGACATCACAGCTGTCGCGCGAAACGGACGAACGGTACGTCTTTATGAAAATCTGAGCTCTGGGATACGTCATGCAAAATTGACAATGGAATATGTCGGCGTATACAAGGTAGCTCGTGACCTCGTTACGAACGTAGATTACGTGATTTATGCAACCACATCCGCCATCTGCTTCGCATCAATGTACCGGAAATGGTTACTCCAAAACGATCTAAATCCTAGTTTATTGCGCATATTACTAAAGTGCCATAATGTTTTTGTCAGATAATAACGTGTGTAGCTACAGAATAGCGTCTTCATTTTTCTCCTCAACGCCGACGCGTAAACGGGCTATTGCACATTTTAACGAAATTGAAATATCTCGCGATAAAGCTTCAAATAAAGATCCCTTAAAGAAACGAGCGATATTTTATCGCTAACTCGCAGTCTCAAAGATTAATTCGCGAGAGAGAGAGAGAGAGAGAGAGACACTGCTTTCCGACCTCGTACCACTCGCAGACTGTTGACGGATGAGTATCTTCGCGAAGAGGAGGGAAGGAGAGAGAGAGAGAGAGAGAGAGAGAGAGAGCCTCAAATTATAATTAAAATTTTATTAGAAAGTAAAATTAAGATTATTCTACTCGGGTCCGATGTCATACCTCTTTCTAGAGGAGGTTTCCTCATCCGTTACGTCGGCAATGAGATTCTCGGCGATGTTATTTTCCTTGCTGGCATCCATGTATGATGCCACCACTGGAAGCGTACCGTAACTCCGTGTCTTCTCGTCCCGATTTTCACGCTGCAATCGTCGTACAGCATTATTTATGAGAACTGATCGGCATAAACTCGCTTCAGGGTCCTCGATCCTCCTCAGCTTGCCGGCGGAAATCTTAAGCAAACGGCGACGTTCTTCGCGGGCGCGATATTTAGCGGAGATCATCGTGGGTCGGCTCCTGCGGATCACCAGATCCTCCTCCAATCTCATTTTAGAATCTATGACAATCAAAAAAGACACAAATATTATTACTATTGTTATTTTTACAGATACTATTTTCATCATAGCCATTGTCTGTTAAAGCTAAGGTCGAGGTCTTAGATGTTTGGTAGTACACTCGAAAGTATTTTTACGAAAGCGATATTCTTTCTTATGACGAATCAAATACAAAGTGCTGACAGTGCTATGTGATGCGATCGCTGCAGTGCAGCGAAAATGCTTTACTAGAAGAGTAGTTGTAACTTTTTTTACATATGA